TCTGAGCAGTCGCTGTGGTGGATGCCATCTTAGGCTCGAGGGTGCTATGGGCCTGATCACTGATGCACACACCCTGCCGGGCTCTATTGTTTTTTTTTTTCTGCCCATGGGGTAAGCGTTGGGGTCTTCCTGGGCCTCTTTTGAGCGTGGATCACCCCTATTTTTAGGGGTTAGGCCACACCACCTGTGTAATCGGCTATTTTTAATATGATCTTGACAAATATTGATGCTATTAATATTGCATATTAATAAAACAAACACATATTGCAAAATCTGTTTATTATATAAAATGATCAGTCATTCACCATACAAGATTCCTCCAGAGAGCAGTATGGGTCCCGGCGTGCGCATTGTTGCGGCGGAATTCCCACACATCAAAGGAAATGCCGCCGGATCCTTATCTGACATGCAGACACCTGCCGGGTCCGCTCATGCCCGGAAGCGGACTGGGACACCCCCTTCCCCTCTGCTTCGGAACCTTCGGTCGGTCCAGGAGTTCACACGGGTGGTTCGGGAAAAACGAAGTAAGGAGGTGTCGTTGGGTCGGATGGCTGGCCCCTTTAGGGAGCCCCCATTACCGGACTTGCGGGTCTTCCCTCAGGGAAAATATCGTCTGATTCACCATTTATCGTACCCCCGGGGGGGGGTTCGGTGAATGATGACATCTTTTCCGAACTCTGCTGAGTGTTTTTTGCGCCCTTTGACGTGGCGGTCGACATGGTCAGGCCGAGGCCGATGTGGATTGTGGTTATCCGAGAGTATGTTTCTGGTATTGATTCTAGTGTGTTTGACCTTTCCGTCTGACTATCCGATCTCTGTATTCCTTGACCATTGCCTTGGCTCCTGACTATTCTGAATTCTACATTGATTGACCCTTGGCTTGTTCATTGTTAAATCTGGACATTCTAAGGCCCGGTAATACGTCTTGGGATTTTCTTTTATATGTACTTAAGTTCTGCGTGTTGGGCATCAGCTATTCCTGACACACAGTCACTTTCCCCACTGCTGTTATTTTGTATGTCATCAGACATGTGTGATACCTCATCTTCTGGCAGGTCTGGACCGATTTTTTTGACTTGACATATAGCTATAAATGGCTATTGTTCCTATATACAGCCTATAATGAGTCAATACATCTGTATGAGGAGATGGTGACTTTGAGTCCAAAGGGAAAGGATTGGATTTTCTGAGCTCATCAATATTGATGATCTAAGCCATCAGGGGTGATGTAACTGCAGGGAGAAAGTGGTAGAGATTAATACAGTGAAGGAGTTTAAGCATGCGTGGGATAAGCATAAGGCTATCCTAGCTATAAGATAAGGCCAGGAACTAATGAGAGTAATTAGAAAATTGGGCAGACTAGATGGGCCGAATGGTTCTCATCTGTCATCATATTCTATGTTTCTATGTCAATCTATTTACTTACTTATTTTTATTGGCCCGGGGCGACGGGAGGTTGTGGAGCCCAAACTTCGATACGAATCGGGCAAGGGGGAAAACCGCCTGTCGGTCTGCTCGCGTGTTGCTTAGGGGGGCCGACCTGGAAGAGAGTTCTTCTCCGTGGAAGTGGTGCGGGGCAGATCCGACCCCATTTTTTTTTTAGACCTGGAGCTGTCGGGAGAACTTGCCCTGCCGCAGGTGGAGACTTGGACGTATCTTTCAGGCTACCCTTGGGCAGCAAGCCCAGAGGGGAACTCGCCGGCCTGGGACAACGTGTCCGTCCCCAAAATTTTCAGCAGGCTTCCTTCGTAAGCAGCCGCGAAAAGCCTGGGCTGCCTCAAGCACGAATTTTGGTGGGTGGATGGGGGGAGAAAGATATTTCTACCTGCCCGCAGACGGGGAAGCCTGAGCTGCCACAAGCCTGGACTTACAGTGGGAAATACGAGAATAAAAAATTAAATATGCAAATTAAATAAAAATAAATAAAATAAAATAAATAAATACCTTTTTCAAATGTTCACACTCTTGAACTGGGAGAACTTGTCCCTTACCAAGTGGGGACAATCGCCGAGGCTGACGGGACACTGCGTATGCCTTCAGGGCCAGATTAACAGCCCAGTGGGCCTGGTGCTGACAATTATGACGGGCCTTATTAAAGAATCATATCGACCAAAAACACTAAAACACTCCCAAGTGTCATGTATCTGATGGAGATGGTGCTGGAGAGAAAGAAAACAACAGCTATAAGAAAACACATACCCTATGCTAATCTCCCTCTAACTTATGTTTTCATCTTTCAAGTAAATCCATAACCCCTAACAGCAGTGTCCAGACAAGCAGGAAGTCAATGGGCACGGTAAAAGGGTGTGCTACGGACACAAATCACGTAACCTGCCAAAAGGGGCGAACATGCCCAAAAAGAGGACATGTCTGCCCAAAGAATTTGAAGGCCAGCCTGGCATGAATGCATGTCAGACTGCCTGCCAATCATGCAGCTGGCCAACTAAGGGCATACTATGCAGACAGCACCCTGAGCTAGGCATAAATGCATCTAATGATGCGCTCGCTCAACGCTTTCTAAAGGACTGTCCCCTAGCACTCGCTGGTCCACTTGTCTCCTTACCTTCTTACTAGCAGGCAGAAGCTCCTGGTATATAGTCTGGGACAGAGAAAAGCTGTATGTAGTGAGTGTAGAAGAAAGGGAACATGCCACAGTGTTAGAGAGACCAAAGTCAGCATTACCTTAAAGGATCACTATAAGGTCAGGAACACAAACATGAATTCCTGTCCCTATAGTGTTAACACCACCATCTAACCCCCTGGGCCCCTCATGCCTCCATAAATATAGTAAAAATCTTACTGTATTCAAGCCTGAAGCTGTAACTCTGCATGCTGTTACACTCAGAAAAACAAGCAGTCTGCTGACATCATTAGTGGTGGCCTGATCCAATCACAGTGCTTCCCCATAGGATTGGCTGAGACTGACAAAACGGCAGATCAGGGGCAGAGCCAGCATGATTCAAACACAGCCCTGGCAAATGAGCATCTCCTCATAGAGATGAATTGAATAAATGAATCACTGTGAGGAAAGTTCAGACTGAGGAGACACTGAATGTTTGGATGCATTTTAGGCAGCCATGACCCAGGAAGGATCTCTAACAGTCATCCAAGGAGTGGCCAGTGAAGTTATCACTAGGCTGTAATGTAAAGACTGCATTTTCTCTGAAAAGACAGTGTTTACAGCAAAAAGCTTGAAGGTAATGATTCTACTAACCAGAACAAATTCAATAAGCTGTAGTTGTTCTTGTGACTATATTGTCCCTTTAACTATATTCATTGTCAGCCAGTCCACACAAGTTTTGTTCCCATACATCCCTTTTAAGTTTCCATACTTAAGTAAGAGTATGTGAAAAGTAGTAAGGGTTCGCCACCTTTCTTGGAAAAACATACCGGCCTTACTAATTTGCATAATTAAATATGTATGGGTGACATCACATGATTTAAATCACAAGGAGTGACGTAAGAGAAAATGCTGTAAAATCACCAAAAAACTACTTAGTTTGATTATGCTGTATAGATGGATTCCTCCCAGTGCCCCCATGTTTCCCAGTGCCCCCATGTGTCGATTACTCCAGGTCTCAGCGTTCCTATGTATCACAGTGTCTCAATGCCCCATGTCTCCCTGTGTCCTCCAGTATTCCCATGTGTCTATGTCCCCATGTATGTGTCACTAGGACACTAGGAAGACGGGGAGACCTGGGGACACGGGGAGACCTCAGGACACAGAGACACCAGTGACACTGGGAAACTAGGGGACACTGGCTGGGACACATGGGGACACTGGGAAAATAGGGGACATTTGAAGACATGGGGACACAGACACTAGAGACACTGGCTGGGGGACATGGGGACATTGAGATATGGGGGCACTGGGAGACATGGGGACACTGAGACACCACTGCCACAGACACTAGGGACACTAGCTTGGAGACATGGGGACATTGAGACACTTGAGGCACTGGGAGACATGGAGGCACTAGAAGACATGGGGTCAGTGAGACACTGGGAGATTAGGGGTCACTGGGAGACTAGGGGGCACTGAGACACCAGGGACACTGGCAGGGAGACATGGGGACACTGTGTCCCCATGTGTCTGTGTCATAATGTCTCCCAATGTCCCTTAGTGTCTCAGTGCCTGCCATAATGTCTCCCAATGTCCCTAAGTGTCCCAGTGTCCCCATGTCTCCTTGCAGCCTTTCCCCCCATCCCTTACTTCCCTGAGCTGTAAGCTGTCTCTGCAGGGTGGGAGAAGCTGTCTGGACTCTCTTTAGCTGCACCCCTGCAGATCAGTGAGTAAAGAGAGGCAGGGAGGGATATGCTGGAACTTCCTATCCCTGCCTGTCTCCACACACAGCGACCCCTACTGGTCAGTGCTGGTATTGCATAGTAATCTCTTGTTTATACTGAGAAAAATACCAGCATTTGTATTGCCAATATCACTGCAATATTGGCACCAGCCAGGCAGCCTCAAATACTGGCTGTGCATATAAAATAAAAGCCAGGTGGAATCCCTGAGAGTAGTGTGTGAAAAAAAAATGTAAAAAAAAATATATAGATTTATATTTTTTTAAATCAATGGGCCTATTCCATGGGCCTGGGCCTGGGCCTGGAGCTGCAGCTCCATCAGCCCCTATGTTAATCCGGCCCTGTATGCCTTCACACCAAGCAATGGCAAGCAGGCAGCCTGCTGGGCACAAACTTACACGGGGACATCACAGTGGATGATGGAGCATTGAGGATGTCATCCAGACACAGCAGGCAGGCAGGCAGGCAGGCTGCTAGGCACAAGCTTACACGGTGGCATCACAGAGGATGACGGAACAATGAGGATGTCATCCATCCACAGCATGCTAGCAAGCCAGGAAGCCTGCCTTCTGCATTGCCGCCACAATCCTGGAGGGAGAAAAGAATGAAAAAAATCAATAAACTCTAAGAAAAAAAAAAAGGAAACAAACATACAAAAAAAATATATATATAAAGACTTTTCAGCCTTCTGCTGTCTACAGCCGGGAGTACTTGTCCTTACCATGAGGGAGAGCCTGTGCAGGGGAATCGTGCCATCTTCCATCTTCGAAGCAGCAAACCCGGGCAACCACGCCCATGGCAGTGCGGACACTGAGCTTTTCTCCAACCTCCCCTGCATCTGGACAACCAGGCTTAAGTCCCTTCCGCCGCTCCATCCCCCTGTTCTGCCCGGGCCTTAAGCTCCCTTCCGCTGCTTACCCCCATTCTGCCTGGGCCAGCAGGCTATAGAGGTTATGGTAGAAGAAAAAGAAGGTTATAGGCGCTCACTATAAAAATAAATGAAATAAGCAGCAGTGTACAAAACAAGGATTCCAAAAACTTTGTGAAATAGATGAAATGAAAGAAGAAAATGTAAACCGCGCTTTTAAAATTGTAAATAATACATACATATACTTGTAGATAATTCCAATGAGTATGAGATCTCGGAATAAACAAAATAAAGAAAATAATAGTGCAATACAGTAACAATAAACAATTATGTGATGGCGATTGTAGCTTGTGATTCAATCCACTCACATTTATATGAGCTATAACAGAGCTCTGCTGTAGTGCGCTTGGACGGTATAATCCCCGTTTTAGGATATGGTGTTCCAGTTGGTCCGAATCTTTTAAAGTGCAGTATGCATAATGAAAACAAAAGATAGCAGCCAATGGTGAAGTAAGTACTAGTAATAGGGTTAATAAAAAATTGGTAATGTACTTACAATTTTCTGAGCATATAACTTGCTCTAGTATACACAGCTTAGGTGGTATAATCCCCACCAAGGATATGTAGAATCCAGGAAGTAAATAATGAAATATAAAAGTAACTAAAAAGTATACTTTAATATTAAACAAAACTTAATATCAACATAAAATGTATAAAAGAGGTTATGGTGCTTGGAGTCTTTCAGGAAAAAACACTGCACTTACTGAGATATTTATTATTTATAATTCCATCTTTGGCAATGTTATAAGCCAGCGTGGAATGGGACTAATAGCCCAGCACCATTAAACTGCAGACCAGTATGTATGCTGGTGTATATGTACTTTGTATTTTATTGTCTCTGCATGTAAAGTGAATGTATATTCACTGTGAGCCCTGGTGTAAGTGAATATATGTATGTCTTTGTGTGTAGTGTCAGGGAATTTGGATTCCGAGCAAATTTAAATACAAGTTTGTTTGTTTTTTAAACAGAATAATATTTTTTTATGTGTGTTTATGTAGCATGGCAATAAGTATAAGTGGGTATTTGTGAATTGTGGCAATGTGTTTGTATGAAGTATGCAGGCTACAAACTATATATTACCAGTTGTGGGGCATGGGAGGTGTGGGCAGACAGGAAGATGAGCCTCGCAGTCACATGCATTATAGACTGTAATGAAGCCAATGAGTAAGACCACTGAGAAGTGGATTGTGTGGTCAAGACAATGATCATAGAGGTATGAACCAGCACCCTGGCTGCATCAGGCGTTTGATAGTGGTAGATATGAGTTATGTTTTTGAGATAGAAGTGGCAGGATTTGGCAAGTGACTAGACTTGAGAGGTAAAGGAAAGGTTGTAGTCGGCCTGCAAGGTAGAGCTGTTGGTAGTGCCATTGACTCAGAGGGAGACTAACATGAGAGTAGCAACACTTGAAGGGGAAAGGTGTTTGACCAGTTATGTTTAAGAAAATGAGCCGCCATCTAGTTGTAAATAGCAGAAAGACAGTCTGAGACACTAGTCAGAATGTTCCGGAGGAGAGGAGATGCCAGATAAAGAAACACTGAATGAGGGTTAGGAGAGGTAGGAGGAAAACCAGCAGAGTGCAGAGTCTCATAGACCAAGATTACTGAGGATGAGAAGAAGTTGTTGATGATCAACAGTGTTATGTTGATGATCAACAGTGATGATCAACAGTGTTGTGTTATGTTATGAACAGATATGTGGCTATTAATAATATTAATAATTATTAATACTATTATTAACAATAAAGGGGAATATCTCATGTCCTTCCCGATACCCCTACTCATTAGTGGCATGTTGGGGCCCTCATTATAATATTAAGTGTAGAAGATATAGTGTACCTTTAGCCCCCACCACTTGCTTGTGGGTGGGGGCTCAAATGAATCAAACAAAGGTGTTTAGTATCCACCCTCCCTAAACAATGGAAAGTCCTCCCCTCCCTACCGTCCTGGGTGACTTGGCGTCCCCAATTCCCTTGATGAGTGCGGGGAAGAGGACACTAGGTTCTACCCCCTTTACTATGAAAATTACGGCCCTGACCCATCACCACTGGGTTGCAGCTCAGGGGGGACACTAGATCCTACCCCATGAATATTATAATATATTATATTATATTATAATTATATAATACAAAAAAAGAAAGAATGAAGAAAGAACATTAGGGACAATAATTAATGAGGGTGGATGAAATAAAAAGTTAGTACATTTAAATAAAAAGGATATTGACCTCCAGGAACTGTATGTAGCTGTTGAAACTGCATTTTGGTTTTAGAATGTATATATGACAATACAAATAATTAGGCCCTGGGGAGTTAGCACAGCTAAACGGACAAGGGCACATGTATGTGTGGGGATGGTGCTGGTGATTGGCTGTATGTGTGTAGGGGAGTGGTTATGGGTTTGGAGTGGGGCAGGCATCATCTTACCTCAGTGCCTTTCAGGATTCTGGCCAGCAAACAACTTCCTTGCCTCTGCGCTCCTGTTTGTCTTGGGCCTGGTGACTTTTCTTGCTTGAGGAATGGATATAGAGGGAATCCTGTCTTCCCTTAGAGCTGCAGCTGCCCTGGATGGCGGTAGGCACCTTCGTGAGCACTTTGCTCACCTCCAACCTGGTGTGGCTGCCGGTGTGGGTCCCACACCCCCTCCGCGGCCAGGTCTCTGCCGGGGCCTCCCACGTGGCTACAGCCCCTGTTGGCCATGGGAGCATGGGCCAGCGCTCCTGCCTGCTAGTTTGAGCCTTGATGCCTCTCCTCGGGCCTGGAGAGGCTCTGGTGGGTCCTCTGGGGATAAGGGTCGGCTGAGAGGGTCCCCTCTCCTCCTCCGGGTTCTGTCCATAGTTCTCCCCTCCTTCCCCCCTGTGGTGTCATCTTTTATTTCCCCCCCTCTCCCTCTGTGGTCCTCTCTTCCTCTCTAGTCCCTTTGGTCCTGGGTCACCGCCCTCTCTCTTCTCCCTTTGCTAGTTCTCTCTCTGTTCCCCTCCCTCCTCCCCCCATGTCTGTTTCTGGCCCCTATGTCCCCCCTCTCTCCCCTGGGTACTTACCTCGGCTGCCCTCCTCGGCTGGGTGTGAGCTTACCTCCTCTCCACTGCTCTTCTCTCAAGATCTGGCTGCTGTTCCTGGGACTGTCCAGCAGGTGGCGCCTGGAACCCCTGCAAGACTGAACAGTGCTGAAAATGGAATTACCTCTGTCCTGCCTTGATCGTCTTTGTTTCCTTTGCCGTGGGATGATCCTCGGGCATCGGCTGGTGAGTACACTAATGTCTCTTCCTTTCAGTCCAGGGGTTCCTTGCTGGGGGGGGGGTTCTGTCAGGGCTTAGGGGTTTTCTGGATCAGTGGGAGTGGAGTGTTCAAGCGGGTGGGGACCCCCCATTAGATGCTCAGCTTTGGTCAGTGTGGTCCTCGGCGCTGCAGCCACAGGGGGTTATGGTGGTTCCTGGGGTCCCGGGGTCCCCCTCTCCCGGGGTGGGTGGCCATGCTGGCATCCTTGCTTCGGCATCGGGTGCTGCAGCACTTGCTGTTGCTGGGGGGTCCCTAGCATTGGGTGATCCCCCAGGTGTTGCTGACGTTGCGCATGGGTCTGCCTATATGTGTTGGTTGGGGCCCTTGGTCTTGCACCAAAAACAGGAGGTTCGAGAAAAAATTTGGAGGGGGGAATTTGTTGAGATTTTTTTTCCCTCTTCCCCATGGAGGAGGCTCCTCCTTTGGTGGAAAAGGATGGAAAAGAATCCGAAAAAGAAAAGGAGAAATACCGGTACCGGAAGTTCCCTAAGACTTTCGGGAATTGGATTTGCGTGTTTGCGATCCTGGCCAGTGTCATTTGGGAAAAGGCTCAGCAGAAGTACTCTGCATTGTTCTGCTATCAGGATACCATTTGAAACGCTTGTCGTACCTATGGCGGTCTGAGGTGGTGGAAATATGACGAGCAATTCCAGATGGACATTGGCCTTGAAGTATTAAAAATGAAGGCACAGTCGCAGTTTAGAAATTGCCTTTCAAGTTTGATCTGGCTAGAGTGGAGTTTCAATGAATGTCAATGGACGGCGTGAGTTGCAAACAAATGGTCATATTGTGAAAACTATCAGGACTATCAGCTTAGCCGTAGACATTTTTTAGTGGCAGCAGGGATAGCTGAATGTTGATATATGATTTGTGTAGGTGGGCTTGAAAATGAGGGAGTGGTGGCAGTTTAGAAATCATGTCCTGATTTTTCAGCTTTTGCCAGCTCCCACTCTAGTTTTGAACATTTTGCCATTCATTCCTATGGGACCAATTTTGCCACAAGAACGACGATATTCCATGAACCATTTGGCGAAATGTTCCACAAAGTAAAAGCAATCCAATCGGGAACAATCCGCACGTTTCGGTATATTACTGTCTATGTAGTGTAAAAACTGTGGGAGGAGTTAGGGTGGTAAATTTGGCTATAATAAGAATAAGAATAATATATATGTGAGATAACATTAAGTGGTCTTGCTATGCAAGAACACTTAAATATCCTAATAATGAGATTATCAGTGAAAGAGCAGTTTTTTTAACTGTGTGTGTAACTTTGTCCAGTGTTTGTGACAAAGTGGCCACTGCAAAAGACTGAATATATCCTATTTTGAATACCCTGGGTTGTCTACTTTTGCAAATGGTATGCCATGATGGGGATTATTTAATTTATGGGCTGCCATACAGTCTTAAAGGAAACATAGGCCCAGAAAACCAAATTGGCAAATTTCAAATGCAGAAATGGAAATGGGGAAAGTCCTATATTTGACACTGTAACTTTCCAAAACCTGTACATGGAGGGTACTTTTGTACTTTTCAAGCCATACTAAACACAAATATGCGTTTTTTTATTGCAGTAAAATCTAACAGTAGTATGACATTCACAGTTAAATGCCACGTAGAACTGGGAAAATAACTTTTCATAATTTCTCAAGTTTTAAAAAATATTTATTTATA